TGTCCTTAGAACCCATATCCATTGTTTCCTGTTAGTATTGGTTCTGCCAATGAGCGTGACTTGCTTTTACCATTTATACCTAAGAATTTCATGTGGTAAATTATCCAATAAAAATAAACAGTACATAAGAATTATTCTATCAGATAGTAATAGTTTCTAATAAAGGAGTGCTCAGGAGTAGTGGGGGTGGGGTAGTGTTTGAATACCCTTAAGCACACAAATGATAGAATGTGTTGGAAAGCAATTATCCACGGGTCTGTCACATTCTGACACATCTTGGGAACAGAGGCACTGATTGTCTTTTCATCAGGATCTTTTTAAGCTTATTTGCATACTGAATAACCTTGAATGACAAGAGACAATATTTGGCATGCTTGCTATCCATTGTAATAAGAAAATGTTTCCCTCTGGCAGAAAAACAATACGGATTTGCTTGCCATCCTTATAAAATATTCACATTCCCTGTGTGGAGAGGTCCTTTCCTGGAATGGAAGCCGTTGCATGTATGGCTCGTATGGTTTGTATCCGTGGCCATCTGTGTCACTGCCGCAGGGCTTGGAGACAAAGGAAGCTGTCAAATGTGGGTTGGTGATCGTGGTGCAATAGTCTTTTGTCTTTGACTCAGGAGTGTCATGTCATGTTTTACATCCATAACACTGAGGAAAACTAACTCATTAGCTTGAAAGTTAAAGAATCTGAGAGCCTTCACTGTTCTGAGCAGTTTGGACAACAATAACAGGATGCTGACATAGATGTGGACGTCCAGAGGAGAAAGGCTGAGTCCTGCAGGCCAGATTTGGGAATATGACGGGACCCTTTGGCATCTGAAAATAAATGCTGGGCAAGAAGGAGGGGCATCGGGAGGGGCCTGCATTGTCCTCCCAGTTAATGGCTGCTTTGAGGGCCAGCAGTCACAGGACTGAACCGAGCTGCCCACATAATGCTTGGTCACTGCACACTCTTTGCTGGGAGGGTTCATAACTGTCACCGTGACAATGGGAAGGACGCTCTGCAGCACCAGGCAAGAGGCACTGAAGCATGGCTCATGAACCAAAGCATCCCCAAAGCCGAAATAAATTCAGCAGTATTGTAGGTACTTGTAGTGGATTGACAGCTGGTGGTCAACTTATAACCCCCAAGTGAACTGAGTAAGCATGGTGCTGGGTGTGGGAGGCCCACCTGGGGATTCTTGCCAGCAGCATAAGAAGCAGAACTGGAGAAGAAGTTAGACTGTTGGGAGTGGGAAAAGGCTGTTGGGAGCTGAGAGAGGCTGTTGGGAGCTGAGAGAGGCTGTCAGGAGCTGGTAGGAGCTGTAAGGAGCAGTTGGTTGTTTTGGAGAAGCTTGTTATGCTGGCTTTCCTGACGAACTCAGCTGTTTTCATCCTCTAAGGAGCTCGGGACCTCATTGGCACTGAGAATGACTTTGTTTACTTTGGGGGAGCTCTGGTCCTCACTTTGAACATCGCTTCCTGGCTGCAGAGGGGAAGATGGTATACTGCCCATCTCCTGGAGAAGCTTGCTGCGTTGGCTTCTCTGATGGGAATTCAGCTTTCCTCATCAGAGGAGCTCGGGACCTCATTGTTGCTGAGGATGACTGTGGGACCTTTCGGGGGAGCTCTGGTTCCTCTTCCTGGCTCCAGTGCAGATCCCTCAGCCTGCTAGCACAGATCCTTCATCCCACTGGCACAGACTTCCTAGATTCCACCACTGACCTTTGGGCCTTCCCAGTGCAGATCCCTGAAACAGGCCTGCATAAGATATTGTTATGGGCTCTAGGCCTCCAGGTGGGCTCATGGGAGGCACTGTTATAAGCTCTAGGTTTTCAGCTGGACTCATGCTGGACATTTCCGTGGGTTCCAGGCCCTCAGCTGGATTCCTTGGTCTTAGTGTGTGGGCAGATTTCCTGCACTCTCTTGTATCTCATTCTTTGGGTGACTATTATAAATAATCCTATAAAATATATGTCCTGTATTATATTGTTTCTCCTTGCAAAAATAAGCCCCAAACTAGCACAGTACTAGTCCAAAATCATTAGAAGTTCTTTTGGTTGAGCTATGGGCTGATACCTGTCCAAAACCTGCTCACATTGAATGCAGATACCTTGCTTCCTGGCATGGGAGCTCTTTCACTTTCATGTCCTCTCTCCTTACTACCTTCATCTCCACTCTGACTTCAGCTACTTTACAGACAGGCTTCCGCACTCCACAAACAGACCAAAGGTCATACGCACCCATCTCATGATGCTGAGGAACTGTCTTGGCTACAACTGCCAAGTCATGGGCTTACCCAGTCCAGTGATTCAGTGAGTGGGGTTTTGGCTGTGTTTACAGTGGGGAAGTCACCTAATGTAACCCTGGGGCTGAGTGATTTGGGTAAGTTCCATGTACTGTCATTGCTACACCACATCTGAACATGGCTCCTCATCTCAAAAGTGCTGAGGAAATTCCCCCCTCCATGTGGAATGGCCACATGCAGGGAAATGCTGACCTACAATACTAGCACACCTTTCAGCTTCAGTTTCTGTCCTGAGGACTGTGGAAAACAGAGGCTGCCTCTGAGGGGCCCCCTGAGACGTTAGACTCCTCACCTCTCTGACACAGACACCAGGTATGACGTTTTTAAAAGGTAGTTTTTGAAGAGTAGTTTGCAGCTGGGCTTTGGGCAAAGCTAAACACCTAATTCACAAAAGCCTCGTGACACTCTGGAATGGGTCAGTTGGAATTCAGTGATGCCTGAAGTGAGGTAGGGTCAACAAGCCCCACTTGTCAAAGGAAAATGATATGTTCAAGAGCATGGTTGGCTTGGCCCCAGCGGCATCTCAGTATTACGTGAAAAGTGGCAGAGCCAACTCTGTAGGGAAACTTTAGAGCCTACGCTGCTTCCTGAAGCAAAACCACTGGCTGCAGAAGCACCTCAACTTACAAAGGTTCTCCTAACTCCTGGTTTGATTCACTGATGGTGATACCTATTCTCATGATTTATGCCTGGATGTCCCCTCAAAGCCTCATGTGGTCATGGGGGTTGGCTATTTGAAGGTGGCTGAATCTAGAGTTTGTGACTGATTCATGGTCTAATGCTGGGGTTAAGGGTGGGAGTGCTATATCTGCCTCAGGGAGGGTGGGTAGCCTGTGTACAATGTAAGGGAGGGAAAGTGGCTTGCTCTCCTTTCTCTTCTGTTGCTTTTGCTGTCTTCCACCACCATGACCTGTTGCCCCTGGGCCATGCCACTTTGCCTTGGAGCCAGCCAACTTTGGACTGAAACCTCTACAAACTGTGAGCTGAATAAACCTTTCCTCTTTTAACTTTGGGTATCAGGTATTTTGTCTCAGCAATGAGAGAAAAGTAACCAAGACACCTATGGATATTATGCTGTGACCTAAGTACTTCAACTTCCAGTAATTTGAATGTGTCTGTCAGGGTGGAGTATCAGCTTGATTGCTTTGGGATCCACCCAAGGGTTTGGTGGAGCATTCTGTGGGTGCTCCTGAATGGGTCATTGAGGTGTGGACCTGGGGACTATGTCTGATCCCTCACTCCTCCCTCTCTGTTGCTGTTCTCCTGCTGTTTGCTGGGGGTTGTGAGTTAAGCAGCTTCACACTACTATATAGCCTTTCATTGTGATGTTTGTGTTTTTGAAGCCAGATAACCTTGGACTGAATCCCCTGAACTGTGAGCCTAATCAAACCTCTCCTCCCTTATGTTGTAGGTTTCAAGCACTGTGTCCCAGTGATGGGAAAGCTGGCTAATACATTGGAATACAAGTATACTCGTGTATGTGAGTAAAGTCATATTTGCAAGGATGTTTATTGTAGCACTGTTTTTGACAGCAAACAAGAACAAACTACTGAAAAATCTCACATTCAGGAGCTCAGTATTCAAATTATTTATAGCTCTGTACAAACCATGACAAACCAAAAATAATATTAAAAATTTTTGTTTTCACAAACAGCAAATATTTTCTCAGTGAACTGTGAATGAAAGCACGTTTCATGACATCTGCCATTTGTTGACCAACTACATACATCCGAAACCTAACAGTAGCATGTTTTCTTAACAAAACAAACTTTAAGGTAAGTCTTCTTCATAAAATCCTCCAAATCTCAAGGCTGTGACCACTAGGTTTCACCATCCAAATTCTGAACTTACACTGATTTTCAAGATTTATGGTTGTATAAAAAACAAGAGGCTGAAAATGTGAGGTTTTATCACTTTTATGTAAAACTAGCATCTATAAAGATGTATGCATGGGTTTCACTGAAAGGAAATACAGGAAACTGGTAACAGAGTTTCCTGTACAGAAAAGACAATGAAGTCTTTGACATCTTTAATGAAAATATGTCTTACTTTTATTGCTATATATAAAGATTCAAACTTTAAAAAATATTACCTTTGGCTACTGAAAATCTAAATAACTACTTACTTGTTTATGACCTGTAATTTATTTTTGATTCTTTCTCTTTCTTTCTTTTTTTTTTTTTTTTTTTTTTTTTTTTTTTTATGTCTCTCTGGCTTTTTGTCTGTTATGAATCTGAATTTATTCTGAAGAGAAAAACATTATCATTTTGAAAAGAGCTATCTAGAAAGAATATAAGAGGAGTAATCATATACCCATATTTTGATTGCTGGGAGATCAACATAAATTATTGTGATCCCCAATGCTAAAAAGAGAAATAGAACCCTGAAGGTAAATCTAGATGCTGATATTAGCATAGGAAAGAGGTAAATGATACACAGCTACAATACCTGGAAGAGAACATAAATCTAGTAGCAAAAGTGCTTGTACAAAAAACTATCTCCAATTACATAATCAAACAAAAAATTCAAACAATGCCTGTATATTTTAACTTATTTTTATGTCTTCTGAGACACAACGATATAACCAAGGAAAGAAACAGTATTGTAACAGAAGTTCTCCACTCCATTCCTCTCAGTTTCATAGGCAATTCTCCCAGAACCATATCTAGACAAGGTTCAGTCATTACCATACCACATAGACAGACCTCTCTGAAGATGTGGGTGCAGATTCTTCCACTGCAGTCTCACTTTGAAGGGTTTAAGATGGAGAATGCTGTGCCACTGTCATGGGGTAATATCTTCCAGATGTTGGAGAGTGCATCTGGGAGCAGCAGATGGAAGTTCATTTGGGGAGGGTGTATGAAAATATCTTTTCCTGTGTAGATTTGCTAAACTAAAGGAAAAAACAAATCACTGGATTGATATTATATACCAGTACAATACTCATGTTAATAACAATGGCTACAAATCAGTTTATGAAATCCCAAGAGTGTAAGGTTGACCCTTCATCTTTCTGGAAAACAGCACCTCTTACTTATTTTACTTTTCCTTGAGGTTGTTGCTAGTGGCAACAGAAAGAATGCACTGGAGTGTCATAATAATCCTCCATTAAATCCCTAGTGTTTAAATTTTAATGCTATAATTCAGGAGCTGACAAAAGCCCATTGAGTGTGTCTATGGGGAGGAAAACAGGCAGACCCATTTTCTCAGGAGTGATGCTATAGCAACATGGAATGAATTTGGGGTCAAAGAACAAGCAGTCTCCAAGCTTTGTTTGCATTTCCTGGCTAAAAGTAGAATCCACCATTATAAATTTTACTCAAATACATAGTTATTTTGAGCAGCAGGAAGATAGCTCACTTTGTACCATTTACATTGAAAATAGAAGGAAACAAAGCCAGAACTGGAAGAAAGATGTGCTAACAAATATGTTGTGAAATGATTTTGTAAGTGACACTTTAGAAACCTCTAGACCCAGCCCCTCATGCTTGACACTGAACTCTTCTTCCCCAATCAAATGATGCTTTAGAGCATGGAGAAGTATTACAATCTGCAACATGCCTTTTTAAAGGAAGGAGACAAAATCTGATCAACATTCTCTGAATGTGCCCTCCCTACTGTCATATGAAACATGGAAAAGTAGCGTGATGTTGATTTTGCTCTGTATAATGGTACTTTTGTTTCAGTGGGAAGATAATTTTTTTTCTACCAAAATAAACAAATACACCTGAATCACAAATGTGTTTTTATTTTTGGTTCTTTTAACAGCAGTGTATTGAGTCCATGTTCAATAAAGCTATATTTTGGATGGTTATCAATCCAACAAGGTGTATCAAACTTTCGACTATATTTCCTTGGCTTATAATACACAGGAATGGAGAATGTTATGTTTCAAGTGCTAAATGATAGGTAAAAACATATGAAAACTATGCCACTCAATGAAAGTTAGAGCTCTTGCTGCGTTCCTATTCCCTTGCCCAAGCCTTCAGTGTCACACTTCAGCAATTAAAACCTGTCCTCCCAATCCTGTCATGATCTCTGCTATACCTGCTACAATTCATCCTAAACATAACAGCAGCAGTAATTATCTTCCTAACACAGTAACCAAATTTCTCTTCTAATAAAAGGTCTGCAATGCCTATGGAATCAAATTCATATTTCTACAAATTAATTATGCTGTTAAAGTTAACCACACTGTATAACTTGCTATTTCATTATTATACCTTTATTATACCTTTTCCTCATACTGTATTCTGTTAATAAATTCTCCCTAGAATTTTCACATTATTTTTGTATTTCAAGCCCAGTCCAAATGTCCCCTTTACCAGGGAAGCCTTGCTGAATTACCCATTCTGGGAAAAAAAATGCCTTTTCATCACTCCTTCTTTCTTTTCCCTCCTTCCTTCACTCCTCCCTTCCTTCCTCTTTATCTTTGTTTTTCTTTCTCATTTCTTTTTTCTTTCTTTTCTTTTCTTTCCTTTTTCTTTTTTTCTAAGAAAACATGCCCATACAGATTTGTCTTTAAGAACTTCTTCCATTTCTTTTAACAAACAATTATCTCCCAAGGACAGTGACTATACATTTAATTATTTTTATTCATTTTATTCCTAAAAAGAAATGCTAAGAAAATATTTTCTAATCTGTGCTGTTGACCTGGTTCTTGTTACTAGACATAAAAAACATGTTAAGTTCATGTTATGTTATCAATAAAAAATTATATAAAATAAAAATCAAAGGTATGGATTACCAATATTAATATATTGTAATCACTGTAGATGCTTTAAATGGAACACTGGTTTAGCCCAGGCTGACAGGAGCTCCTTCTTCAGGTACTTACACACTCACAAGGACAGAGAAAGGAACACTGGTGAAACACACTGGCCTGAAAATTTCTGCCCAGAAGTGGCAAACATTTCTTCTGCTCATACTTTTAAGGCAAAGCAAGTCATATGGCTAACTTGACTTCCAGGGAACAAAGAAGTGATATTCTTTATGCATTAAAAAATTGAGGCAATTGGAAATGTTTAGAGAATAGCAAACAATTTTCCCATATTTTCCAGTCGTTAGAGGAAAATACTAATAAATTTTAAAATCTATTTTAGAATAGAGATACAATACATGCAAAATTAGGAAACTCTCTGAAATTAGACATCAGAGATAGCTAATTAAAACTGAAGGATATCTTTCAAAAACCTTAGCAAGCTGCATATTTAATCACCAAATCTGGCACTTGGCTATCCCTTACCAATTTGGATAATAGATCCTTAGAGGAATTCTTAGATAAAGATTGTTATTATACTTAATCTTGATCAATATAGACTGTAAGTTGTGGCTAACGCAATAAGACATAAAGAAAATGAGGTACAAGGCTTGGAAGAATAGAGAAAAAACTGCCAATTTATAGGTATGATATCAACTACTGGCAGTGGTTACCATTTGATTTATTTAGGATTTTCTTTTGAAATTATTGATAGTTATAACAAAACTTCCACAAAATTACTTTAAAACTCTAAAGCAAAACATCAACAAGAACACTAGCAAATAAATTAATATTGTGTAGTTGGAGTGCTAGGGAAAGAAAGGGAGAGTTTGAGTAGAAAACTTGTGTAAGGAAATAGTGAGTGGAATACCTCAAAGTTTTATTTTTAAAAGTTCATCTATAATTATAAGAATCTAACCAAACATCAAAGAAAGGATGGTGGAACCCCAGGCAGGCACATCATATTAAACTGTGAACATCAAAGTTAAACAATATTAAAAATCAAGAGGAAAAAAGACATGCTAATTATTGCACATTAAATGCAAGGAACCAACTTACAATAAGAAAGAGGGCTGATTCTTCCTGAGACACTATGAAAAGTAGAAGACAATGGAACAAAAATCTCTAAATTAATGAAGGAAAAATAATATGTGAACTTAAACAAACATTGGACACCAGATATGCAGTATTAAACATCCTGGAGATGTTATTTTGGCTAGAGCAAATGGTATCATGTGGGAATTAGATTATGCAAACAGGAATGTAAGATTAGACACTGTGATCAATTTCATGAAAATAAATTGAACAAATTAGACAAAAGGCACAAACTTTTTTTGAGAAACATAACAAGCCAAAGTGATGAAAGAAAAGAAGTTAAACATTTTATTAATTAAATAAAATTCATAATTAAAAATATCTCCAAAAGGAACATATCAGGGTCATGTGGCTTACTGGTAAAATTTACTAAACATTGAAGCAGAAATCATCGCAGTTATACCTGTTATCTGATGGTTTGTTACTTTTCTCCAGAAATTTGTATTTAAGGGAATGGTTTGCCTTAAATAATTAACCCTGAGGGGACATACTTAGATCAGAAGTTTACCCAAGGAAGATAAGAATTTGACTAGTAACTTCAGTTCAGTTATAATGTTGGTAAGGCATCCATCTGTTTCTGAGTTAGCACTTCACATTAGCCCTTGACTTTAGCCAGTTTCACCCATGATATAAACTGATACACAAGAAGAAATGAAAAAAAGACATAAAAATATGCCACAGCTATTCCAATAGCTCAAACAACTCAAAGTCATATAGTCTTCCTAAGGATGATTGATAGCAACATCCATGTATACCGAGATACTGTGTTTAAAAGGGGAAGAAAGAAAGAAACTGGAAAATCTGAGTCAAAACAAGGGTGAGTTTTCACTTTATAAGCAAATATTTCAGGCCAAATATTTGGTAGACTAATTATAACCTCTAGCAATCATTTTTCTCACAGAGTACTTGTTGCACATTTTAAAAACAAGAAGAAAGGGCCGCCTTTTACTTGCTCTTCTCTCTATTCTTAACCGTTGCTACCCTGGGTTCTAATAGAACACTATCCCCAGAATGAAGGAGAATAGGCAACAGTGGGGAAGAGCATGAATGTTGTGAATCTATGAAGAAACAGTCAAAAACCAAGGTTTTAAGGAAGGAAGAAGGCTCTAGCAGTTTAGACAGCATACTTCCGTAAAATCTTTAAGTGCATAGACTGCAATGTATATATTAGTACAGCAGATCAAATTTCTCAGAAGACTGCCTACAAGATGGAGTTTAGTATAGATACAGTTGGGCAGGGATTACTGTCAGAATCAACAACTGCGTGACAAGAGGAAAGCAGAATTGGGCCAAGGGAGAAGGTGGACTGCAATGCGGTAACCGCAGCAGCTAGGGCAAGCCCAAGGGGAGCCTTGAGGCTTGGATGGTCCTTTAAATATAACCCAAGGTGAGAACCTGAAGTTGGACGTTTATACCCTACATTCTAGTCTTTGAATGCAGCGGGTCCTCTGGAAGAGGAGTGAACTTGGGCAATGTGCAACCTTCAGGAGAAGGTAAAAGAAAACAGAGCTGGGAGTTATAGCAGTACTCCCAGAAGTTGTTGGAATTGCCCTTCCACCCAGGAAGGTGAATCTGGGAAGTGTAGCACAGCTTGAGTCTTCCTGCATCTGAACATCATCACTCCAGGACTCTGAAGGGGCTCTTTCCCAGGGTAAACTTACTAGAGGAAAGTGAAGAGGGCTAAGCTCAGCTTTTCCTGATGGAGCTGAGTATGAGGCTTCAGCTATTGAAGTCGTTGTCTCCTTCCTCTGCAGTTCATCCTACATTCTCTTCTCCCACCTTTGCTGGTTTGGTGGCTTAGCTGGTGGTGTGTCCTAACTTCTGTCACTGACTGCCTAACAGCTAGTCACTAAGCCCTTCTCAGACTGTGGCTACTATATTTGTCAAATTGTCATCAAAGCTGAGCAAAGATATACCAAGCAATAACCAAATCCTAAACACACTCCTGCTTGTCTCTCATGCCAGCCTTTCTCCTGATGTTTAGCTCAGCTGCTTCTATCAATATGGAACTCCCTCTTCCCCACTGGTTCCTTGGATTTGGAATCTAAAGAACACAGACAGAAAGCATAGTTTATTCCCAAGTTATTTCCTGTGTCAGGAGCTAAGACTGTTAAACAGAGGTCAGAATTTCAGGAAAAAAAAGAAGCAGAAACTCCGTTACAGGCCATTTCTGCCTTCAGTCCTTGCTTCCTGGCACATGGATTCTAACCATATAATGGTCATTGATTGTCTTGGAAGATGTCTTGGAAGATGACTCCCTGTTTTTGTCTATTCTCATTTTCAAGCAGGTGCTTCACCTGTACCTTCCATAAAATATTCAAATGCTCTTTAATGCTGTTGTTTTTGGATGAGGTAGTTTATAACAGGACCAACAAGTCTCGTGATAATGGGCCTACTGTTGCACCTCCTTTACTATAAAGCGAGTCTCTTACATAGTGAACAAAACAACAAAAATAGTGAAAAGATGACCTACAGAAGGGGAGAAAATATTGATGATCTGCATATCTGATAAGTGTATGAGTTAGTCAACTTAAGAAAACACTTAATCTGGTTTAGAAGCCGAACAAAGACGTTGAACAAACATTTTTCACAAGAGATCTACAAATGGCCAACAGGTGGGTGAAAAATGCCCTAAATCACTAATCATCAGAGAGAAACAAATAAGAACCACAACAACATATCACCTCAAACCTGTAAGCACAGATATTATTTTTTTTTTCAAAGAGGTATTTATTTTTTTATTTAACAGACATCCATTTATAAAATAGCATAAGAACAATACAAGCAATCCAGAGATACAGACAAAGTGGTAGGAAATTAACAATGCTTGTTGTATCACATATTGATATCTTCAAAGTAGTTTCTCAGTAAACAAATAGAGACATGCAAGACTGATCAAATAATCATTAACCATTCCTTTCAGTAAAATGATAGAAGTCAGTAGTACAGCTATGTTAGCTATCCTGTATATACATACATACATACATACATAATTTCTCCTTTTTTCTTTTCTCTTTTCCCTCATCCCAGTTACTCTTTACTTTTGAGCATTTTCCTTTCATTTCACAATGTCTGTCATATCTCCTAATTTTTATTCACTCTTTCAGGTTCTTACAGTAGTGAGACAATATGTTGCTTACACATGGAGGTCTGGTTTATTTCATTTATGAGTATGGTCTCTAGTTGTGACCATTTACCTGTAAAAGCCTTGAGTTTATCTTTTTTACAGGTGAGTAATGTTCCATTGTATAAAAGTACCACAATTTTTTTATCCATTCCTCAGTGGATAGATATTTGGGTT